CTGATCTAGAACCGCCACTGCCGTTCTCAACCACCTGTCCATATTACCTCCTCCACTGCCCCATGACCCCACTGTTCTCAACAACTACTACAGCAGCACTCTCTCCTCCTGTCTCAATCAACTCGCCCCCATCAAAACCAAATCTGTCTCCTTCACTCGCTTAGCCCCCTGGTACACCCCGGAACTCAGCAAACTTAAAACCCGAAAACGCCAGCGAGAAAGACTCCATAAAAAATCCGGTTTAACTGTTCATCTCCTCGCCTACACCGATCACCTTAAGTTTTAGAAGAACAGCATTACCGCTATCATCATTGTAGCTCCAGCTCTGTACTCACTTGAACCACTGTCACTGATGTATACTCCACCGCATCAAACACTTTAAAGCGCTCAAGGACATCTGTACAATTGCACACTTCTTGTACGACAAATACTGCCTCTGGTCACTTTAAAATGGTTCAATGATTTTCTGCACCAACTGTACAACTGTTATAGTATTGTATTCTACCACTGATCACTTTAGCTCTGCTTGATACTTTGCACATTGTCTCACAGTTGTCAATGGGTGGTACACCTCACTACGGTTCACTTACATTACGAAATGTCCTTCCATACTTATTTTTCCATACTTATTTGTCATGTCCTTGTTTATGATAATACTAATTCAGCGTGTATACCGGAGACAAATTCCTTGTGTGTTCTACATACCAATAAAGATGATTTTGATTCTGATTCTGATTACAAGACCGCACTCAACTCCAGCCGTTCCGCTGACTACTCCAACCTTATTCACACCGACTCCAACAACCAAAAGGCTCTATTCTCTACCGTCAACAAACTCCTCAAACCCAGCGACAATATTTCAACCTCTTTTGCCGTCGACAAATGCAATTCATTCCTATCCTACTTTCAATCCAAAATTGACATCCTCTACAGTTCACTCATCACCTCATCCGTCCCCCCTCCCTTCCTACCAGCATCCATCACTCCAACTACCTCACCTCTCTCTAAATTCACACCTGTCTCCATAGCCGAATTCACCAACATCATCTCAACAATGAATTCCTCCACCTGCATACTGGATCCCATTCCATCTTCCTTCGTCAAGCACTGCTTTCCCACCATCTCCCACCTCGTCATGAACATTGTCAACTCCTCCCTCAACTTTGCCTATGTCCGCTCCTCACTCAAACTGGCTGCTGTAACCCCCCTCATCAAAAAACCCGGACTCAACCCTGACATCATGAGCAACTTTCGACCCATCTCCAACCTCCCCTTTCTGTCCAAAGTCATAGAACGTGCCGTCGCATCTCAAATTAAAACCTACCTAGGCAATAACCAACTCTTCGAACAATTTCAATCTGGATTCCGCACACAACACGGCACTGAAACAGCCCTCCACAAAATCACCAATGACCTCCTCCTCTCCTCTGACTCTGGCCTAATCTCCATCCTCATCCTTCTTGACCTTACAGCTGCCTTCGACACCATCAACCACTCCATCCTACTCTCTCGTCTGCAATGCCTAAACAGCACCGACAAAGTCCACACCTGGCTTCGCTCATATCTCACAGACAGGAAAGAATTCATACACATCAACAACTGCTCTTCCTACACTGCCCCACTGTCCCCCAGGGTTCTGTGCTTGGTCTTCTTGTCTTCATCCTCTACCTTCTACCCCTCGGCCAAATCATTCGTCATCATGGTCTCCAGTTCCACTGCTACGCTGGTGACGTCCAATTGTACATCTCCACCAAATAATTTACCCCAACAACCCACTCCACCCTGTCTAACTGTCTTTCAGACATCAAATCCTGGATGCAAACAAACTTTCTCACTCTTAACTGCACTAAATCTCAACTGGTATTAATCGGTCCTCAGTCCCTCACCCAAACAGCCTCCAACTTTAACCTCACTATCGACAACTGCACCCTGTTCCCCTCCTCTCACTGTCGCAAACTCGGTGTCCTTTTTGATAATAACCTCTCTTTCAACCAACACATCACCCAAATCACCAAAACTGCTTTCTTCCACCTCAAAAACATTTCTTGTCTCCGCACTACACTTTCTTTCAACGCCGCTCAAACCCTCATCCACGCCTTCATCACTTCCCGCCTTGACTACTGCAATAGCATCCTCTACAGCAGGGGTCCCCAACCTTTTTTGCCCCACGGACCAGTTTATGTCAGACAATATTTTCAGGGACCGGCAATTATGGTGTGGCGGAAATAATACAACAAAATAATATGGTGTGAGCTGCATGAAAACTGTGGCGTTTTCGAAATATAATAATAAACACAAGGAGCGTCTAATCTGGCCGCGACACTCCGATCGCTATGGCAATGTTTAATGCCTTCAAAATACGATACAACGCAAATTCAAAGTGCATGAAAATGACGACTCACCACAGCACCGAGCTTGATTTTCTGCAACCAGACGGCCCATCTCGGGGTAATAGGAAACAATGACACCTCAAGTGTGTGGTTTATGTCCAGTCTACTTCGTAATTTTGTTTTCGTCGCCGTTGCTGCAGAAACCCCCCACCTCACACAGGTAGGATGTCGGAAATAGCAACAGTGCTGTTTTGGGCATCTCAGAGTATTCAGCCATAACTTTAATCCAGTTGTCTCAAACGTACTTTTAAGGCCGCCGTCATTTGCGATCTCCAGCAGTTTTTTTTACTCATTTTGCGAGCTCCCGCGTTTTGTTTTGAAGTAATCGGTCACGTGAAGGAGAAGCGTGGCTTGACGTGTGTCAAGCGTAACACAGACGGATGTAACGGAGAATCCGGTAGTTTTTCAAAATAAAACATCTTTCGTCTTCCGAAATAAATAAAACGGAATTAAGGCAAGTTCTTTCGGTGCGGCCCGGTACCAAATACCCGGCGGACCGGTACCGGTCCGCGGACCGGCGGTTGGGGACCCCTGCTTACAGTACAACCTCCTCAATAAACTACAGTACATCCAGAATGCCGCCGCCCGTCTACTCACCCACACCCGCACTCGTGATCACATCACCCCCGTCCTTAAAAACCTCCACTGGCTCCCCGTTCCCCAGCGTATTCAGTTTAAACTGCTCCTACTCACCTATAAAGCCCGTCACAATCAGGCCCCCTCCTACCTCTCCGACCTTCTTCACCAATATACTCCTTCCCGCAACCTCCGTTCCTCAGACACAAACCTCCTTGCCATCCCCGTGACCAAGCTCAAAACCTGGGGGGACCGAGCTTTCTCTGTCGCCGCCCCCACCCTCTGGAACACTCTACTACAACACATCCGCAACTGTACTAGCCTCCAATCCTTCAAATCATCTCTTAAAACGCACTCGTTCCACAATGCTTTTAACACCTCTTAATCTCTTTTACCCATTTTTGCTTTGTTTTGTTCATCTAAATGTGTTTTTTGTAAATCCTGTATGCTTGGCTTTACGTGTACATTTTTATCCTGTGTTTTAAACTCTTGAAAACTGTCTTTGAGTATATAATAATCAAAATAAATGTATTATTATTATTATTATTATTATTATTATTATTATTATTATTATTATTATCATTATTATTAATAGTTATACCTCACCCTATTGCTTGTCTGGCATGCTACTCATAACTTAAAATGACATTTTCCAGATGTGCTAAATAATACATTTTACACCATGTTATTGTCAGTCGGATTATATTAATGTGAATGAAAGTCTGCAGACGCAATGTTAGATGTCAGACCACATTTCAGCTACTCACAAACTAATACGTCAACATGACAGTGACAAATTTGGTTCCATTAGATTAGTCATCTTTGCAATGAAACCATTTGTCAAAATGTTATGAAGGAGCGAAGTTGGTGGACATTGACCACAACCGTTGCTGGA